AACCCTTTTAGCTCTTGTAAACATGTTGTAACAATTTCTGCAGTTTATAGCAAAGTATTTGAACCATTTGTACATTTATAAAGTGTTAGTTTGCACCGTGCTACGTTCTGCTCATTGATGTCAATGGTTAGCRTTAGCATTAGCTCAATGCATAAAAATCCCCCTTGTGAAGCCACGCACAGGTCACGTGATGCCCAATTCCGTAATATATATCAATGATTAAAACCACCTAAATCTCATTCTAATCCTCTGGTCCGTACCTCAGGCTGTACAGAACATGACCATCTGGAAAGACCCTCAGCATGATGTTGTCAGTGGTGGTGTCGTGGATGAAGGACCTCTTGGAATGGACGAAGAACACATCAGGCACCCAGATTTTTTTCACAAGGCGTCCATCAAATGTCATGCTCTTGTTGGTGGCACTCGGGAAGGCTAATCTCTCGTCCTTCCAGTAGTGTCGTAGATACAAAGTCATGGTGAAGTCCTACAGGAGCAGAAACAGTTTGAACATGGAGGCTGTGTCTCTGTTAGGGCCTGCAGCCCACCTAGGCCACAGCCCATGTAGGCCACGGCCGCCCATGTAGGCCACAGCCCATGTAGGCCACGGCCCATGTAGGCCACAGCCCATGCAGTCTAGTAGTCTGCATGAAACTGCTGTGAAATGAGACGGTCTAACCTTCAGAGTTAAAAAGCTTTGGGACATGTATTCATTCGTCTTTCCTGCAGAAATAACTTCACCATTAAAATATTTACAAGTAAATAACATAAAAACATTAATAATTTGGGTTTAGCTCCAGTATCAATAATTGTAGTAACATTATATCTAACATTATTGCAGCATAAATTTCATTACTAAAATGCTAAACTTACATTTAAAAACCAATTCTTCAGTCCRTGATGAATTTCCAAACTAAGCTGACATGATAAAACAATGTCAACAACAAAAAACACCCTGTCAGCTTTATTTTTCTGTTTAGTTTGCTGACAGTGCAATAAATCCTGCGGTATCTTCGACCAGGAAGGAGACTCAGATTCAGCCTTCATTTTTGGGGTTTGTGGGCTGCATTCATCGGCCACATGAGAAGGAGCAAACTGGGACAATCTGTGATATAAAATGGCAGACAAACACGCCCTCAGGAGGACGCAGCCCTGATTTGAGAAAAAAGTCCATATTTACATGTTTAATATCAGTAAATAATATATTTGACAACAGATAAAATCGATTTAAATCAGGTTAAACATGAACATTGAAGCTGTTTAATGTTAGCATACAGGTTTTACAATTAAAATAATTAATTTTGGTTAAATATGCGTAATATTTACTTGTGAAACATAACCTTTTTAGCTCTTGTAAACATGTTGTAACAATTTCTGCAGTTTATAGCAAAGTATTTGAACCATTTGTACATTTATAAAGAGTTTGTTTGCACCGTGCTACATCCCCCTTGTGAAGCCACGCCCAGGTCACGTGATGCCCAAATCC